TGGACAGGTCACTAATAATATAGCGAGATAATACCTTACATTTTTGTATTTACAGTGCTTGACAAATAAAGTCACAGATGACCTCCTTCAGAAAGTTCAGGCACACAAAGTAGATTTTACTCCCAAATAATATGTACAAGTTTCATTTTAATGTGTAGTAATTATGTATAATTAGCTAAGTTGATCATTAAACATACTCTGATGAAAGATGTCTGTGGTGTAACTATGTTTCTATAAAACTTTTAATGTGTATTGCTCTCGTCATTATAAATGTGTGTAATAAATGTGTGTAATAAATGTGGAGTTGTCAGCTTTTTTAATCAGCTTTTTTCTCTGCTGTTTTATGTCAGGTGAACAGCTTTTAAAACCCAAAAGGGAAAATGATGATTATTAAGAGTGTAAAGAACAGAACTGCCCAGTGTGAGTCCTACTGCAGTGCTCTCAGGGACAGAGCCATGGGAACACACAGACGTCACTCCATTTCACTGTAGATTCTGCTGTGAGGGAGGGCTCGTACCGACGTGTCTATACACAAAATACAGAACGTGTTTTGGGCGAGGTGCAATGTGAACTTTGCCACAGAGGCGTAGCCATGCAATTAAACATTTGTGTCATTTTACTCCTTTCAGTGGCAGATATAATTTTGCAGTGAAGACAATATATTTTTAAATGGAATGACGACATCTTCTGTCTGTCTGAGGACATCCTCTGTCTGACGGGTCTACACTTGTACTATGGTCTGGTGTGTATTTACTGACTGTCCTAAACTGTGTGTGCGTGGGGGGGGGGGGTTGTTTTAGAATTCACCCCCCTAAGGACGGCCCTGGTAATGGCAGGGATGTTTTAATAATGTGATGTCAGACATGGGAAGGGGCGTTTGTTGCTATAGTAATCTCTTCAGGTGAACGCGACTTCTTTTTTTTCTCTTCTTTTCGCTAGCTGTTTAGCCACGCTGTCCTGACATATGTGAAATATAACCTAAGTGATCATTTTTGAAAATTTGTGTAAATAAATAAAACACTGTATGTACTTCAGAACCTCAATCCTCCCCACCTTCACACCATGCGTATAGACATTACATTAATCATGTTGCTCTGTTTTTTTTAATAGGTATCCTGGATACATTTTTGCATCATGCAGGAGGCAGTTGACACCGCTGTGCCCGCTTTAGGTCTGCCCATGGGGACCGGAGAGTTCACCGAGCAGCAGATGGGACTCGCCAACAAGATCCCGTTAGTGAAGCCCTACTTCAAAAAGAAACACGCACAGAGAAAACTGGACACAAAATGCTTACGTGCTTTAGAGGACCCTATTTTGAGCACGTTATTAAACTCAGACGCACTTGTGTCAGGGGATGGAGTGTTTGTTCTGCGTAACCCAGCTCGACCACAGCAGAATATATGCACCGCCGCCATAGAGAAGCAGGCGAGGATTAGTCAGGTGTGCCTGAAGGAGGAGGATGAGAGCACGGTCGCGGATGTGGGCGTGAGCGAGCTCGCGGGGGAACAAAAGGTGTTGGATATTCAGCGGGTGTCAATAGAGGCTAATGAGCAACGCTTCCAGCCCCAGGAGCGCAACGAGGCGGCGCCCTCCTCCGACGTTTCATGAGTGAAGGAGTAAAGTTGCTGTAAAAACAGGTTATGTCATTAGTGCAATGAATAACCTTTCACCTCATTTCAGTCACACATCACACCATGATCTATGGCAGGGGTTTCCAACTGGCAGGTCACAACCCAATAGAATATTTAGTTACACTTTATTTTAAGGTGCCATTATTACAGTGTTATAACACAAATAATTATTCAGAAATATTAATTAACAGCATACTTACTAGGGTTTGTTACTTGTAATTATGCGTAATTTACTGTTATTTTCTAAAGTATGTTACTGAATATTTGTCTTATAGTGTTTGTTTAGTGTATCTGGGTATGTTGTTTATGCATTTACAACATGCATTAACTTTACATTTTTCAGCGCATATCACATTGGGCTCCTACATTTTGCTGTATTATTTTAGTGACAATGTTTTTTTTTATGATTAACAATTATTATAGAAATGTGTTGGGTCGCCATTTGATGTCCAGTGTATCTTCCTAAACCGGTTGAGAACCACTGATTTATGGTCGCGCTTAAACATATACATTATTTACATGCTTATTTGGTCTTTTAAAGTGATGTCTAAGTTTAATTTTCCTAACATTCCCAATGACCACATTCCTTAAACGGCCCTAAACCCACTTCTTTGTTGGATGTTTGTGGTTTAGACCCCCGTATGATTGTTCACTTTTCCTCTACTATTTTTTTTTTAACACCAACCAGCTTAGGCCGTATAATTACCAGTGTTGGGGAAAGTTACTTTTAAAAGTAATGCATTACAATGTTGCGTTACTCCATAAAAAAGTAACTAATTACGTTACTTAGTTACTTTTTATGGAAAGAAATGCGTTACGTTACTTTTTAAATCTGGACAGGGCTTGCTTGTTTGTTTTTAAAATAAAAAAAGTTATATTTTTGGCAAATATAAAAGCCTTTTCACACCAAAAGTTAAATGAATAAGCCTCAGGCTGAAGGGAAAGTAAATTTACGTCCATACAGAAGAATGCAGTAGAAGACATTTCAACACACTTCAGCAATAAAAAAAGATACACAAATGTTTGTCTAGAGTAATTTTTTCTTATTAGTACGGTTGAACTGGATCATCGAAAGTCAGAAGCAAAGACATTGCTTAATAGAATGGGATTAAATACATAAAGGATATTTGTGTTGTTTAA